GGCTCGACCTGTCAGCAGTGAGGTCAGCAGGGCGACGCGAGAGCAGGATGTGGGGTAACGTGCCGGCTGGCACTCGAAAGTCATGGCCAGGGTCGCCAACATGCCCTCCGGGGATCCCCTGGTTCTGTCCCACTTCTCTGGAAGGCTGAGGCGTGGTTCCATCCTGTCAGGAACAGCTGCGGTCTGACGTTGCAGAGCGGTGGTCAGCTGGAGTACTAGCTCGGTGAGTGACTCAATCTTGGTGGCTTGGCGATCAGCTATGGCACGGAGCTGGTTCATGTCTGCCGCATGCTGATCCAAGATTGCGCGCTGTTGAGCCACTTCGGCACGCAGACGCGCGAACTCCGCTGGGTCAACTTGGGGCTCAGTCATCCTGTCAGGTTCGTTGGCAGATCTGAAGCGTGACTGAGAGTTCTGTTGCCCAGACGCGGAGAGATGGAGATAGCCGGCGTGGTTATCTCCTGAAGGTGTAGTTTGAGGGTTTAGAGGGCTGGTAAGCCTGGAGACTCGATACAAAGTCTGGTGAGAAACGATGACTGAGCAATGAATGAAACGCCGGCACTTCCTTAAGTAGTGTCGGCGTGATGACGTCAGTCGCCACGTTAGTGGCAGGAATGAATGGAATGCAGTCAGCTGGAGGAGTTCGTGACACTATCTATAGGTGAATACAAGGATGAGCACACACACACACACTCACACACACACACACACACGCACACACACACACACACACACACACACACACACACACACACACACACACGCACACACACACACACACACACACACATACACACTCACACTCACACACACACACGCATACGCATAGACAAACACATACACACACACACACACACACACACTCACACTCACACACACACACACACACACACACACACACACACTCACACTCACACTCACACACACACACGCATACGCATAGACAAACACATACACACACACACACACACACACACACACACACACACACACACACACTCACACGCATATGCAAGCGCATACACATACGCATAGACAAACACACACTCACACTCACACACACACACTCACACTCACACACACACACACACGCATATGCAAGCGCATACACATACGCATAGACAAACACACACTCACACGCATACACATACGCAAACGCACACGCACACACGCACACACACACCCACACACACACACACTTTTTTTGGTCTTTCATCAGATTTCACTGTCCACAACTGTTATACTGTGATGCAGGCCAGGCATTAAGGACCATGCAGAAGCAGCCTCCTCCAGCTGAAGCCTATTTTCCCTTGGACCCGCCCACAAGCTCACTGATTGGCTCTGCCACGTCATGCAAACGTGAGATTGGTTGTCCGTGCTGTCACTCTAACTCTATCTCCATGGAGACGACTGAAACGAGTGTTTTGCCTGTCAGGAGGAGTCTGCGTTCATCTACCTGTAAGTTTTACTCTACCTGCATCATGTCACCTGGATGGGTTAATGTCAGAGCTTTTGTTTACATCAACATTTTTAGTTTTGTGTGTGTATGTGCGTGTGTGTGTGTGTGTGTGTGTGTGTGTGTGTGTGTGTGTGTGTATGTGCGTGTGTGTGTGTGTGTGTGTGTGTGTGTGTGTGTGTGCGTGCGTGCGTGCGTGCGTGCGTGCGTGCGTGCGTGCGTGCGTGCGTGCGTGCGTGTGTGTGTGTGTGTGTGTGTGTGTGTGTGTGTGTGTGTGTGTGCGTGTGTGTGTGTGTGTGTGTGTGTGTGTGTGCTCTGTCTTCTCCATCCCCAGTGAGTCATGGTGGATGCTTATACTGGTCCAGGACCCTCTGGAGGTTCTTCCTCCTACGGCAGACAAGATCAGCTTCACTTCCAGCTGAGGAGGTGAGGAGAAACTTTTGGGTTTCCCGTTGAGATCAGTCAGTCTAATAAAAAGTCATGTCTAATCTCTAGACGTGACACGTTTATTTAGTACGACAGAAAGCAGCAGATGTCTCATACTTCTGCTTGTTGGGAAATCCTTCAGTGCAAAAGTCCAGAGAAAAGCTTCGGGGGAAGAGCGTAGACAAGAGGAACTGAAAGTGTTTAAATCTGTTGTTCAGCAAAACCATGTCCTCTCACGAACGACAGACAAAAACGCAAGTAGTGAGACGACAAAGCAGAGAGGGAAGCAGTGGAGATAGGGTGTGGAGTAAAACACACATCTACACTCACTGGCCACTTTATTGGGTACACATTGCTAGTACCGGGCTGGATCCCCTTTTGCCTTCAAAACGGCCTTAATCCTCTAAGGCATAGATTCAGCAAGCTACTGGAAACATTCCTCAGAGATCTTGGTCCATATTGACATGACAGCATCACACAGCTCCTGCAGATGTGTGGGATGCACATCCATGATGTGAATCTCCTGTTCCACCACATCCCAAAAGACCTCTACTGGGTTGAGATCTGGTTGGTGTGGAGGCCATTTGAGTACAGTGAACTCAGTGTCACGTTCAAGAGACCAGTCTAGATGATTGGAGCTTTATGACATGGAGCATTGTCTCGCTGGAAGTAGCCATGAGAAGATGGTACACTGTGGTCATAAAGGGATGGACTTGGTCAGCAACAATACTCAGGTAGGCTGTAGCGTTGCAACAATGATCAGTTAGTACTAAGGGGCCCAACGTCAGCCACAAAAATGTCCCCCACACCATTATACCACCAACACCAGCCTGAAGCACTGATCCACGGCAGAATGGATCCATGCTTTCATGTTCCATCCATCCATCCAAACCCCTCCGCTCTGAACGGTGGCAGCTGGAAGGTGAGTGATCAGCTTAAACAAAAACACTCTTAACTCGATGAAAAATTAACGGATTGCCTTGAAACAACCTTAGAACACACGGGCTTGAGACAACATACTTGCACATGTTGAAATTAACGCTTTTGAAAGTGACTCAGTTGTGAACCACGTATCCCATCTAGGCTATTTGCATGCATTTGCATTTAGTTCAACCAAACCAATAACGATTTTACGACGGACGCATTTCTGTCTAAATGTCTGTTTGTGGATGTTCTTGTATTTATTCGCTGTCTAACTTGGCTTAGGGATGACGAGGCTACGGTGGGTGACCTGCTATTACCTCACTGGGAGTCGCTCGTTTCATTTTAAATAAATTAGTGCTAAATTGCCCGTGATTTTATTAAAACAGGACTTTACTGGATTTGTGTTTTCAGTAATACACCTGTGCTAATTATGAAGTTTGAGGGTCAACATGCCTGACTTCTGTGCAGCCTACAGATGCTCGAATCGCCGCTGTGACAAACCGAGCTAAAAAAGCTCTTGGAGATGACCACCAGCTGACTTGAGGACTGGAGGCATAAAAACCTCTTGGCTCACCTAGACTTGTACATTATTCTGTCTGTTAATTGTTTTTATATCAATAAAATAATTAGAAACTGCTGTTCCATTGCTGCTGCTACCTTCTTCTATACATTGTTTATCTGGTTTTATGAATGTTGAAAATGTCCTTCACAAGATCAATCCATTATCCATCTAGACCAGGGGTGTCAAACTCATTTTAGTTCAGGGCCACATCGAGGGAAATCTAGTCCCACGTGGGCCGGACCGGTAAATTAAAAACAGCTTCAGACTGTTTTCTTTGTTTTAATACCATCAATATAAAACAAGGCTGGAGCCTGAGGACAGTGTAGTACAAGTACAACACCTGAAGGGTACTTGAAAATTTGAAAAAAATCAATCAATAAATAAAAATACATTCCTTAGTGATTCAAAGAGCTTACATGTCACATGGCTAGATCAGTTTCATGCAGCACTTAAAGTATATTTGACTCATTTTACTTCACATCTTTTAGCTTTCACCAGAACATCAACATCAGGAATCACATCCTGAGTGGCGGCCAACTTCAGGAAGTGATTCAAGTTCTTGTGTGAGCCTTGAGCGCAGCTTTGTTTTATTTATACTCGTTACAGAGGAAACTTGCTCACAAAGATAAGTTTATTTTCACTCTACATTGTAAAGTATGAAAATGAAGTTTACACAACCATCTCGCGGGCCGGATTTAACCTGCTTGTGGGCCGGATCTGGCCCGCGGACCGCATATTTGACACCCCTGATTTATCATATTTATTACTGTAATCCATCATGTTTATAACTGTAATCCATCATGTTTATAACTGTAATCCATTGTTTATAACTGTAATCCATTTTATTTACTACTGTAATCCATCATATTTATTACTGTAATCCATCATATTTATTACTGTAATCCATTTTATTTATTACTGTAATCCATTTTATTTACTACTGTAATCCATCATATTTATTACTGTAATCCATCATATTTATTACTGTAATCCATTTTATTTATTACTGTAATCCATCATATTTACTACTGTAATCCATCATATTTACTACTGTAATCCATCATATTTATTACTGTAATCCATTTTATTTATTACTGTAATCCATCATATTTATTACTGTAATCCATCATATTTATTACTGTAATCCATCATATTTATTACTGTAATCCATTTTATTTATTACTGTAATCCATCATATTTACTACTGTAATCCATCATATTTACTACTGTAATCCATCTTATTTATTACTGTAATCCATTTTATTTATTACTGTAATCCATCTTATTTATTACTGTAATCCATTTTATTTATTACTGTAATCCATCATATTTACTACTGTAATCCATCATGTTTATAACCTAATCTACCTTTTGATTATTTCCTAACTTTTTCAGAAAGCATTTCCAAACAGCTTATAATTAATAAATGAAAGTCAATCAATAAGAAAACCAGAGATAAGAAATAGTGAATATACCCAATAATTAGCTGGGTTACATCTTACTGCTGGTCGGCCGGTTCTAGCTGACAGGTGAGATTTGTGTCGGTTGTCTGATTTGATGGGGTGCTCATATCTGTGTTACGTTCAGCTATGCTTAGCTTTTGTGTTTTTACTTCTCCTCCTTGTGTTTTACCCGAGGAGCTGATTTGCAGCACCTGGCTCCCTCCAGTCTGCCCTGCTCCACCCTGCAGCACCACGCTGTTGGAGATGAGAACCACCCACTGAGGTTAAGTAGTTGCTTCCATGTTTTGTTGCCGCCGATCACTTTGCTGTCAGTGTTCTTTGTGTTTTGAGCTTTGTTCTGGTAAGTAAAACATTAGAGTTGTGTTCTTAAATACAGACAATAGATTATTTCGTTGCCCCAGGTTTCCTAGACGACCTGGGGTGTTCTGTTTTTACCTCAAAGGAACCTTGAACCCTGATCTCTAAACAAATCATTTTCACAGAGCAGCAATAGATAAAGAGAAAAATACACTGATGTGTATATACATTCCACTGTTATACATGATTTTTAAAGGCTATGTATAATATAAATTACTGTAACCTACTATTAAATGTGCTATAAATACAAATGATTAAATGCCTTGTGGAGCGAAATAACGGGATTTTCCAGGCCAAGCCCATTTTCTTTCACAGACACATCTCTGGCGTTTAACGAATCAAACTTTTTGAAAATCGTTGAAAATTGAGCAGCTTAGAGTTCTTTAAATAGTTTATGCATCAATTACACCAATGTTGCCAAAGGGGGCAGCTGTCTGAGGTAAGATGACCAAGACCAAGGCTGCATGGTGGCTCAGTGGTTAGCACTGTTGCCTCGCAGCACGAAGGTCGCAGGTTCAAAACTCGGCTACGGCCTTTCTGCGTGGAGTTGCGTGTTCTCCCCATGCATGCGTGGGTTTGCTCCGGGTACTCCGGTTTCCCCCACAGATCACAACATGCCCTATAGGTTATAAACTGTAAGTCGCTTTGGATCAAAGCGTCTGCTAAATAAATAAACATAATAACATAATAAGATGGCCGCCATGTTGCTACGTCGCACTCCATTGGCGAATGGCACGGGAGAGCCCTCTAGTGTTCATGTATTAGGGGCGCCTCGGTACAGATAGCCCACGGTACGGCCCATATCTTGGTCTTTGGTTCTCGGTTTCAGTATGTTTGTGCAGAAAAAGCCAGCTTTTTGATCCCAGAACATACATTTTATTTTTTGTCTGAACAAAAACAGAATGTGACCGTTGGAAGAACATCAGTGAATAGAATAAAATAACATTCTCAGCACTGAACAACATTCAAATCCTCGTTTTTAATTATCACTTGTATGAAATACAAAATATTAAAAAAATACTAAATGTAAACAAACACACTTTAAAAAAATCCAGTGCAACCCAATTCCCACCCTTGCTAACTGAATTAACTATGTGAAAGGGTGTATTTTACCTTTAAAACATTATTAGCTTTTGCTTTGAATAGAAAAGCAGAGCTAAACCCTTCATTCAGGATACAAAGTGTAATGTTTACTCCTCCACTACTGAAGGATTTTTGTGCAAACATGTGAGTTTATCAACCCGGTCTGGTGCAAGGCGAGACCAGTTTGCACTAACAATGTCCCCAGCAGTGGAGAAAACTCTCACTAGGAACTGACGTCCCGGGACACTGAGGAGACGTTTTCCCACTTTTGCAACATGAGGAAACTTGCACTCATTGGTCTCCCACCACCTGAGTGCATCAGCATCAACGCCAATGGAGTCTGCTAACCTGTACGAAGCATCCTCGACTCCCTGGGAAAGAGCCTTGACCTGGTCTTGTTTAAAAAAAACAAACAGCTCTGCCATTGCTGTCTTCTTTGGAGGGGGAGAGGCTGACTCTTGTCCCCCTGGGGGGTGGCTTGTCTCCACTTCCTTCTCATATAGAATAACAGCTGGTAGTGTCTATATCTGCTCCTGTCAACTCACTGCAGTTGCCACAATAGAGAAAGCTCAGCTGCTGTTTTGTTTCATCATTGACAGATTTGCACAAGTATGAAATATAAAAAATCTATATTATCTATATCTATATCTATATATATTATATATAGATATAGATATATATCCAGCTACAGGAAATATGATCAACATACCTGTGGTTCATACTCCAGGCTTTCTGTGGCAAGATCTCTGTGGAGTCTGTCCAGGGAGGATTCATCAAGGGAGGGCAGGTATTTCAACCTGGTTCCAGGGCTGTGGCTTCTTGGAGGTACTTCTGAAGGTCAGGGTCACTTTCATCCAGGTTTAATGGCTTCTTTTGCTTCTTTGATAACTGTAGTGTCTTCACCTCCATGGATTTGAAAATCATTTCTTTCAGTAAGAGGATCATTGACATTGTGGGGGTTGTTTCACTGCTCATGAGTGTTGTCTCAGTTTTTAGTGATTTGAGACCTTCTATTAGTTCTTCCATTTTTTGCTCATCATCCGTCAACACTGCAATGCCCTTGACGTGGCTCTTCAGGTTTGTGGCCATCCTTAATGCAGAGTAGATGGCAGGCTGCTGTTCACGTGTCATGTGGTGTGTTCCAGCGGTTATCACATCATTAATCAACATGTGCTTTGGTGAGTTTAACGTTTGTTGTTTAACAGCAAAAGCTTGGTTGCCTGTGGTGCTTCAGTGAAAATCACTTTCCCGAGGAGGAGAGACGCACCGTCAATCGACACGGCCCTCCTGTCAGCGAGATTATTCACAGTGTGACCAAACCAGCTCAACAGTTTCACTGACTCATAGAGGGGGTGCTTTTCATGTCCCAGTCCAGCATGTGGACCATCACAGTCGTGTAGCTCTGTGTTGCGCGAGAAGTCCAGCTATCAGTGGTCAGTGTGAGGCCTTCTGTTCAGCCAAATCACTCTCGCTGGTTCTGCGTGTTTTGCCCAGGGACGACAGCCTCACTAAGATGTGTGTGACTGGGTACAGCATAACAAGGCTCGAGCGGCTTCACTAAGTGTTGAAAACACACATCACCGACTACAGAAACGGGCTGCTGATCTCTGGCCATAAACACTTCCCGTGCATCGGTTATTTTGTTATGTTTCTCTGAAGAGGCCCGGTACTTCTGAGCAAAAGCCTTTTCAATTGACAGTTGTTGTTTTTCTGCTGTTGCCTGTGCGGGTCGCTCGACTGACCTGTGTTCAGGAAGTCTGGATGCCTTCGCTGGATATGTTTTGGCATGGTGCTCATGTTCCCTTTGGAGTAAGCGACACATGCCAAACAAAGTTTACAGACTGTAATTTCTGTTGATTGTTTTTGCTCCTTCATCGCTGTACTCGACCCCAAAGCCAAAATAATTCCAAACTGGAGATTTGAGCTTGCCATTTTCTTATGTCTGTGTACTTTGTAGCCAGCCACACACAACTGTAAACCAGCCTGTAAGTTCGAAAGTTAGCATGTGGATGCACAACAGTGATTGGGTATTAACTTGCGGGGGCGGTCTTTCATCTGCCTGGATGAGAAGGATATCCTGGACAGACAAACTCACCCTGGTGCAGAGTAAAACATAAAGTAATGGAGCAGCGCCAAAATAACGACAAAGCCAAAGTCCCGTGGTGCACGAGGGCAGATTGTCCCGTTCAAGCACGACTGAATGGTCCAGGATTTTACAGCGTACCGTCGCATCCCGGTTACATACATATCTATGCACTAGTGATGCACCGATATGAAATTGTTGGGCCGATACCGACATCGATATTAAGATCAGTTATGGTCGATAACCGATATTTGCAGATACCGATATACTGACATTAATGCTTCTAAAATCAGCAGATTTTGTATAGAATAAAAATTATTAAAGCTGAATTTACGTTATTATGTACACACAACACACACATTTACGGTTCTGAGATGATTTCGTTCACTGTCACATGACTAAACAATTACACCCCCCCCCCCCCCCCCCCACACACACACACACACACACACACCCCACCCCTCTGAAACAGGCAAACAAATGGAGGTGAGATGGAAAAAATATGGGTTGTTAATATCGGCCCGGTTTTATTTATCGGACCGATACCGTTATGTTAAAAAAATGACTAACGTCGGCCGATACCAATATTGATGACGATATATTCTCCATCCCTACTATGCACACATGAACGGGTTGTTAATAAGGTAAAAAACAAAGTAGGCCAAACCAAAGTGAAACTTCAGTGCAGGCTTGTGAGGCTGGAGGAGGAGTCACTATCCAACCATACGTTGTTTCCATGTCTGACACTTGAATTTGTAAACCATGCAGACGTTCATTAAATGGGTAATGGGAAGCGGAGCGGGTTCAATAATGTTTTACCATTATTTAAAACTTTTCTGGCCAGAAAAGTGTGACCTGTGAGATTCATGTAATTTGATGGTCACATATTTTTCTAACTGTACTCAGACTGCAGTAGGGAGCTGGCAAAATTAATTAAGACAGTTGCAGTGAAGTATCATGATGTTTTAAATAATGGTAAAACAGTATTGAACCCGGTCCGCTTCAATTAAAGCACACAAGATCGATTATTGATGACCCATTTAATGAACGTCTGCATGGTTTACAAATTCAAGTTACAGCCAGCACTCAGACATTCACTGATGGTTCGTAAAGACACCGCTCAGGTTTAAACAAAACAGAAACATTTCATTGTCGGTCGCTGCGATGTTGAACAAATGTTTAGAGAAGCGGAACGATCTCTCGTGTATCATTGTTTAGATAGTTTATGCAGTTTACGTAAACGCTCTTCCTCTTGCTCGTCCTCAAGACTTTCCTGGAAAAGATGGCACGCTGTCGCCCCCTGGAGTCACAGATTCTGATGGGTCACAGATTTTGGTGTAACACTGGTAAGAGGAGCTTGGCATGGGCCATTTTTGCGTAAATAGAGCTTACGGTGTAGGAGTTGTTTAAATTTCTATGTTTGAAAATATCACCAAAAATCAGATTAATAAAAAATGTAAGGTGTAGTAATTTTTGTAAAAACACAATATGTGTAGTATGATCAGATCCAAGTTGTGATTTTCTGAGTGAATTTGGAGTCACTACAGTTTCAAATGGAAGACCTTTTGCAGTTTACATTTAAATTTTCACCCTAAATCAAAACTATGACTGAATTAAACTAACGCGTGCAGTGTGATCAGCGTGTGTGCTGTGCTGTATTTAGTGAATTTGGTCACACTGCCGTGTGTAACTGGACTTTCTAACATTTTATCATCAACCGTTTCTGGTGTGACTATTTGCAGACGGTCCATGAGCGCTGCTGCGTTCAACAGAGAGCTAGAGGACGGGTTTTTGATAAACCACGTTATAGCTAGGTCACTACCACGATACCAAACACGTATGCTGCACTAAAAACGCCCCTCCGTTCAGCAGGTGCGGAGCCGCAGAAGTCGAATCTGTCAACATCTTTCCAACTTTACCCAAGAAAGAGAGCTGTGGGTTATTTACCTGGCTGGTGTGTGAAGAGTCAGAATAACGGGCCCGTTAACGGGGAAAGTCCAACCGGAAAACAGAATGATCTCTGGGAGAGGAGGAGTTCACACACACACACACACACACACACACACACACACACACACACACACACACACACACACACACACACACACACACACACCCGCTGCGCTGCGTCTCTGACTAGCAGGTTTATTCTCCTCTAGACATCAAAGGTAAGACGAAACTTTTCTACTAAATGAAGGTTTTTTTCTCACTAGCACGCAACAAAAGACTCACGACGTTTTGACCGAAGTCAGATCATCTAAACCAGAATCATGTTGCGCAATACCACGTTTGCGTAATAGCCATGGAGATTGGGGTTTGACGCAGAGGCGAAGCGCACCGCTGTGAGCGCAGGGAGAAGGATCAGGGATGGACACAAGGCTGGAGCTATTAGGGTGCGACCTGTACTTATCTGTAAAAGAGGAGAAAAGAAGAACAAAGGTGGAAATGAGTGAAAGCAGCTGGCACCCAGACTTGGACACAGGTGTAACGTGAGGAAATACGGGTGGACGGTGCAAAGGGAGCAGGCTGTAGGTCCAACGTTGATAAAAACTTTTCTCCCTACAGTTTGTTTCTGCCATTTAAAATGTGATTTGTAATTCTGTGCTAGCTTCATGCTGAATAAAATAAGTTATTAACTATATTTGTAGAAAAATTGTTCCGTTTATGCACAGTTTTTGCATCCTTTTTGCTGATAAAGAAAAAAAAACCGTGAGGAGCCATTTGAGAGCTGAAGGTGTTCTGTCAAAGCACCATACATTATTGCCAGTCTGACATATTACGTAAGTCAGACTGACCAAGTGTCGGTACAGGATCTGCTCGGGTGCAAGATCGGCTCGGGGTCCTTCGACTGCCGATGACGTCAAAGTACGGCAAACCCACTCGGACAAAATACACTACACATTTATACTGTTGGAAAGAATTTAGCAGTTTCGTTATTAAAATAATGTTTCTTAAGACGTAAGTTTGTGTTTATAATAGTATTTGTAAAATAAAACACTATACTGTATTCATAATGTTGAACTCCTCGTTGAGCACATCCCTTGAAGGATCATAGGTATTAGCAACACCTGTGAAATTGTATTTGCAGGAAAGAAGTGTGTCCCGTTTATTGAAGTATTTTGTGTTTAGAGTTTTTGACGTCTTGTCCATGCGTAGTTCAGTTACGCTCATAGCTGCTAGCCAAAACTCTGGAGTTAAAAGTTTTCTGGCTTTCCTAAAATACCTGTCTGTACTTATTTGATTGATGGTAGTTTTACTTTCTATTAGACTCCAAATGTAATCATTTGGCACGTTTCTAATTCATAATTTGTAATAATGTAATCGGCGATATTAGCATTAGCATTCCTATGGGCTTTTCCATGTATATGTATATGACCAGTATGACGCCCTGATACAACACCTGTTCGTTTTAGTGAGCCGAACCTTTAAAGAGTTCACTTCACTATGTACTATGCCTGTTAGGGCCTCTGAGGAGAAAAGTGTTAAGCTTATAATAAGCACTAAGTCAGAAGTAATTTTGAGTCATTTAGGAAATAATTCTGGAAGTTTTTCTTTTTTTTTTGAACTCGTTTACAAAGGACTACAAATTTGTTGATAGTCCCTAAGCGAACCACCGTTCCCATTAGCTAGTTCTCGGAACACAGGTTACCGCTGTCTGTGTCGCAGTGCACGGCATGAAGACTTATCGCTGACCGTGTAAACCAATGTCTGTCAAATATACAGTGTCCAACTTCAAGCTAACCACTGCGGTCCTATTCACACCGGGAGAGCCTTGGCCGCGGCACGCCTTCCTCGCTGCGCCTCGCTGTACTCGCGAGATTCTAAAATCCCTCGAGACTTCCGACACCTTCCTCATCGAGAGATCACAACCCCCATGAGGAATCACACTGTTGCACTTCTCGAAAGTAACTGGTGGTAAACAAAGCCGTTCGGTCACACATACTGACGTATATAACATTGCAACGTTGCATTTTATTTAGAAAATTAGGGATTTTACACTGAAACCGTGTGGTTTCCTGTCTCGCACTATGTGAACTGCAGAAATTGACGTGTCCCAGAAGCAGCTCGTGGAAAAATTAGAACTCGATCCTATCTTTAGCGGCGCGACGCAACATGCCGCTTCTGGGATGCGCCTGGAAATTGCTGCGTCGCGGCTGGTTTGAAACACTCCATAGACTATAATTGGATTCTATTTGAAGCGGTGCCGCTTCGCTGCCGTTCCATTCCGCTGATGCTTGCAGTGTGAAACCGGCTTTACTGTAACGGCTGGAGGGCAGGCAGGTGATGCACGAGGGGGGATCAGGCAGGTAAAGTCCGAGGAGCAGTTGCTGAGCAGAGTTGATGAGATAGGGAGGGAGCAGCCAACGTGGTGTGAATTTCCAGAGAGAGATTTCTTGAGATTGTTGGGGATGACAGGTCACAAGGAACACGGAGAACCTGGAGGGACAACAAGGGAGATTAATAACTTGAGGAGATTCAAAGGAGTCTCAGGGATTAGGCCAGGACACTGACCCCGGTTTCACACTGCAAGCATCAGCAGAAAGGAACAGCAGAGGAGCGGCTCACTCGCGAACTTCTAAGCGGTCCTATTCACACCGGGAGAGCCTTGGCCGCGGCACGCCTTCCTCGCTGCGCCTCGCTGTACTCGCGAGATTCTAAAATCCCTCGAGACTTCCGACACCTTCCTCATCATCGAGAAATCGCAACCCCCGTGAGGAATTACACCGTTGCACTTCTCGAAAGTAACTGGTGGTAAACAAAGCCGTTCGGTCACACGTACTGACGTAAGTTATATATAACATTGCAACGTTGCATTTTATTTTGAAAATAACCGGGGATTTTACACTGAAACCGTGTGGTTTCCTGTCTCGCACTATGTGAACTGCAGAAATTGACGTGTCCCAGAAGCAGCTCGTGGAAAAATTAGAACTCGATCCTATCTTTAGCGGCGCGACGCAACATGCCGCTTCTGGGACGCGCCTGGAAATTGCTGCGTCGCGGCTGGTTTGAAACACTCCATAGACTATAATTGGATTCTATTTGAAGCGGTGCCGCTTCGCTGCCGTTCCAGACCGCCGGTCCCTCCAACCAGCAGGTAAGGAGGGTAAAGTGTCTTACCCAAAGACACAATGGCAGCATTGTCTGCCAGAAGCCAGGATTGAACCTACAACCTTCTGATTGCTGGACAACCCACTCTACCTCCTGAGGAGCTACTGCTGCTGTCCCATAACAATCTAAAGTTTGTCCGCTAGATGGGGCTGTGACAGCGATCTTACTCCACAGACACATAAAACAATTCCCCAAACGATTCACTGCATTTAGTTGATTGCTATCGTCAAAACTGTAACAAAGTACTTTAATTAGATTCATTTACATACTAAGATTAGGCCGATTCTGTCAAAAAAGGACCTGGAGAATGTGACTTCATGTTTTGTCTCATCAAGGTTGGACCATGGTAACTCGCTTTTTGCAGGTTTGAGCCTGTTGTCACAGTCAAGGCTGCAAAGTGTGCAAAATGCAACTGCAATGTTAATTTTTCTAATATTGTTACAATCCAAAAATGGGGACATGTTACTCCTCTTCTGGATGCTTTGTATTGGGTATCAGTCCAACATCGCGTTCACGCTGTTGTGATTTTTGTTTTTCAGTCTCTGTCAGCAACCGATATCCAGCAAAACAACGTTGTAGATTCTAAAATCAGCAGCAAGGAATGAATGTGCAGCAGGTTAGGGTGAGTGAGGATAGACTTGGAAACGTACTGACTGGTTTATGATGGGAAGACGGAAAGAGTTGTTAGAAGAGAAAGAAATGAGTTGGTATGAAGGTAGAGGCCTAAATGGAGACAACTTAAAGGAACAGCCGACACAACCTCTCATTACACTGAAGTTCAAACCAAAGCAAAGAAAGAAGAAGACCAAGTGTAATTTTCAGCTCTAAGTCTCAGGATTGTTACTGGATCTCTCAGTAGCAGAGTGCTGCTAATACCTTCCTCTGTTTACCCAGAGGTCAAAGAAAAGTTCTTCAGCAACTCAAATAACCGATGTCTGATTTATACACAGGTCCTAACAAGCGTTTCTGTCCTCAACAGGGGATGGCGGTGGAAATCTCCAAAGACCTGGTGGTTCAGGTGCTTGAAGACGTGAACGTCATCAAGCTAACCACGAGACAACAAGTACTATGTGCTGCTATACGGAGAGGAGAGACCAAATGTCTAGGGGTGAGCGGTTCCTTCCTCTCTATTTTCCTAACCATGATTAGAATAACTAACTTTTATCTGTAGGTTAAATTGTGTGTGTTCAGTCTAACTGTATTAATTTACTTCCAATAGTTTTAATTTTCTTCGTTTGGGAACGTTTCTGCTGTCTGTGCGTGTCCTCTACGTTTGTGAGTTGTCATCCAATCAGATTCACTCTCTGTTGTTGCCAGGGGAGTTTAAGCAGCTCTGAGTATCAGTAGATCATGCCTTTGTCATCATGCCTCACTGTGATGTCTGATTGGATGGTCAGAGTTAAGCTATCACTAGCAAGTTTTGCTAGCAAGGTAGCCTATATTCTCTGTAATCTGCTCACATTGATACTTTTTTTAATTTTATGCCCACTATGGCTGCCACAGAAACAGAGAGAATGTTTAAAAAAAATCAAGGTTGACTTTTCTAGAGAAGTTGGACATGGTCGGACACACTAGCTTGTTGATGGGACTAAAACTAAGACGTCAGCTCTATTGTCGTTAAAAAAACTGTTGTTGTGCAGAAACTTGTCTTAACTGGGTTTCTTGTTAATAACAACAGTATTCACTTTAAATATGTAAAATGCTCCTCATGCTTACTTATTAACTGATGAAAAACTAACGGTGTTTGATCTCTAAATTACCCATCACCCTGTCACCCCCTCGCTCTGTGCGCTTCATAAGCATCCTGTTGCTTTAAAATAATGTCTGTAAACAATCTGTGTCTATGCACTTGACACAGTTAGTGAGATGGCCTGTATTTGATATAGCACATTCTAGAGTCCTGGGACCCCCCAAGGCACTCTACAACACAATCAGTCATTCACACCCTGGTGGTGATGAGCTACGATGTAGCCACAGCTGCCCTGGGGCGCACTGACAGAGGCGAGGCTCACTGACCACCACCTGCAGCCAAGGGGGTTAAGTGTCTTGCCCAAGGACACAATGACAGTGACAAACTGAGTGGGGCTCGAACCTGCAACCTTCCGTTACGGGGCGAGCACCTAACTCCTGTACCACCATCACCCCAGTGAAGGTGTATTGGTAGTTGGCGAAGGTAAAGGATCATTTATATTTGTCAGACTCGTGGACAGGAATTGTCTAGATTTCCGATGCAATGTCAAGGGTAGAAAAATATTTAGTCTCTCACCTTGAGCTCGGTGTTGGAACCTGTAGGTTCCTCGTGCTCAGGGCCACCAACCGCAAGACAGTGAAAGTAAAGTTCAGGAGGGAGCTCAATGGGCAAGGGGTATTCAACACACACAAGTCCCCCCCAGATCAACAACAGGGACAAGGCACTCCAATAGATCATTACCAATGACCAAAGGATTGGAACCTATGTCAGAAATGTACACGGGGTGTGTCATCATGATAAGACCAACCGTGAAGTGAAGAAGAGACTTGAATGACAAGTACGTGTCACCTGGAGCATAAACGTTGACATTCAACCCACAAGGAATGAGTTCTGGAGATCGGCCTCCTCCACCGGAGGCTAGGCAGAGACAGTCAAAAAGAGGATGAGACATGAGAGTAAAGTCTGAACCAGAAGAGCATAACAGGGGAGCACCTCCTCGAGGGTTGCAGGTGCGTAAGGCTTCCCAGCCCCCCTTGTAACTTGAGTTGACCCAAAAGCACCTTGACTGACAGGTCATCTGGGGATTCCGGACCATCCTCATTATCGGTTGAAACGGCCACTGGTTCATCAGGAGCAAGGGAGCATAATGCATCCTGGAAATCTGAGGCAAGGAGCACGACTTCTGGTTGTGAGTGGCATAACATGCACGGGCAAGGAGGAGGATTCTTGGGCCAGCACCCTCACACTTACATTCTGTACATGCTGTCTTAGGTTGGACAGCTCACGCCTCATTTCAGTGAGAAAATCCATCAATAGTTTATCTCAGTCTGCAGCCATCCTGAGGATGCTACAAAACCTTTCATTTTGAATAAAATAGCTTTATTAAGGAAACTGATGAAGAGATTTAATGAAACAGCTGGATCAAAACACGCCAGAGAGGGTGGTATAACACCAGGTGAGAGGGTTAATGATGAGGAATAGAGGGAAGAAGGGAAGAATTATGTCACTTCATTCTTCTTTTGTTATGCAGTGCTGAGCCGGCTGTGTTGAAGAAGGGTGGAATTGCTCTCGTTTTTATGCCGGTATAATGCGTGCGCACGGAATATGCCCACCTTAGGGTTGCAGCCGTTTGTATTTTAAAAGCTAGAATTCAGTCATTAGCTTAACTGTGGAAAAAGAATGTGGCGAAAAAGCCCACTCAGGCTCGGTCCAGTCAGACCAAACACCTGCTTCAGATACAAGACATATCTGGAAATTTCAAACCGTGAAAACGGAATGCGTCGACCGGAATGAAAACACAGATTGATCAGATCTGATAAGGTTAGTATGGTTAAGGTAAGCGTCCAAGCACCCCTGGTCACAACTTACCATAAGCATGAACACAAATAAAAGACAAAAACAATAACACTATCATTCAGTCCCTTTTAGAACCGAGACAATGTTATTGCTTTAACTGTTTGAAACTGGTTGGAATTTGATGAGAGCGCTCGCGAAGAAGGTCGAAGGGAGGCTCCTTCGTATTACTACAGCAGAGATTTTAAAACTTCATTTTGATTTACATTATTGATTTATTAAAATGTAATACTGCATTAAATATGGATTATCAATGTTATAGAACCTTTAATATTCGATTGAAGATGAAACTAGGTACTTTGGGTATGCCAGGAAAACAACATTTTATAATAACTTCACACAGAGGCAAAAATATAGTTTACAAAGATCTATTTATTACTATATTTCCAATTATCAATGATGATGAAAGACAAATGAGTATGAATGGTGATTCAAAGTGATATTAAATGAGACAATGAATGAACTCTGAAACATGACCTGGTATGTTTTAAGAGCTTCACTAAGTGATGTCTGGTTTATAAAATAAACTTGGTTGTTTGATATAATTTAACAAGTTATCAAATTAATATCAACCGCTCTGACTCCATTGAATAGCTACGCACCGGGATAGTTTAAGTTCTCGGGGATCCGGTCTGCAAGGGAAGCCGTCTCTCAGAGTGAGTGAGTTGACTTCTGATGAATCTGAAGGTCATAGGCCCCCTCAGCATACACGCGACTGGTCAAAAGATACTTCTCAGGTGGCTTCTGGTGGACGGTTTCACATCTGATGAGTTGGTGGTGTATGAGCAAATAATAATTGATTGATTCAAAAAAGGATGGTTCTTTAAGCTGCTAAAATCATTCCACATAAAGATTTGGTTTAATCCCCCAAACGATGGTTATTTTTTTTTTCAGCCATTCCTCCCCATTCCCACATATTTCTCTCCTCCTGCTCCCTCACATCATCACACAAACATACACATAGGACCTTGGGGGGTGGACAAGTCAGGGAGTGCGGGTATGGACCCCATTTCCGCATTCCTGTGGCAACCTGCCCCCCAATTTTATTTGCACCTTAAACACTTCCACTGACGACATTCCACACAAACACACACTTAGGGCCTTGGGAGTGAGCACATTCAACGGCACTTGGCAGGGGAATTTTTCAGCCTCCTCCCGAGTGCCGGTGCCCACTTCCAATTTTAAACTGCACTTAGACACCGAGGGCTGTGGGTGCATGTGGGGTGGTGCGGTGGCATCAGCTGGCATAGCCCAGACCATGCCTGCACTGCCCGCTAACCACAGCCATGGAATACACCTCATGATCACACAACACTATATTGGAGGAGGCGGAGGGAGACTAGGGGTCTTAGCACACCTCTGTTGTTGCTAGGCTTCCTGGGGCTGGAGGCTAGGAGGGAGATCTGGCCGTCTGGTTGGGGTCTGGGGTGGTGGGTTGCTGTGCTCAGCGTTGGGCGGGGGAGCCTGCTCATCAGCACCCCAGCAGAAAGGGTCAAACTCTGGTAACCGGTGATGGTTGTACCCCATGTGCAGCAGTACCAGGACCAGAGTGAATAGGGTGTGTAAGGGGAGCACGAGTGGGTGTCCGGCGTGCATTTTTGTAAGTCTTGGGTTGTATGTGCATGTGTGAGCATGAGGGAGGGAGTGTGTGACTGTGTTTGTGTATGACTGTATATGTCAGGTGGGGCCTTTGACTCCTCCCTTCTCCTGGGACTTCTCTTGATGATATAGATCTTCGTCTCCCCTCCCCCTGCCACACCTGGTGTGGGGTGTGGTGCCTTGGTCTGCCTGAGTGTTCGTGGCTCCCGGGTCAGGGGGGTTTAAGATTTTTGGCATCTGCCTGATAGATCCCAGTGGCTGCCTGGTGGGGTCTGGGTCCCTAGGCTCTGCTGGGTCCCCGGCGGGGGTGGTCGCCCCTGGGTGCCGGGTCGCTGGGTCCCAGGCTCGACCGGCTAGGGGGTGGGAGGCTGCGGGCGGGCCTGTGGGCTTGCCGCTGACATCTCCCGGGACTCTGCCGGCTGCTGGTTGTGGCCCCCCGGGGCGATCCTCTGCGCCTCTCGAGGGGGGCGGGGGCCTTTCTGGTTGCAGTCTCCTTGGGGTTCCTGTGCTCTGGGGTAGCGCCTGGATCTCTGAGACTTGGAGCTCCCCCCATCTCCTACACGTCTTTGGGGGGCAGATCTGTGGCCCCTCACACTCTCTATTGGACGCTCCTATAGAGAAACCTTACATAAACAAGCGCGTGTACACACACAGGTGCTCACATGGTGCTCTCATAATTATGGGCTTGGGCACGTTAAACACATCTTAAGGCTGTCGTTGAGACTAAATGCACTGTGATTCATTATCGTGTGACTGTTCAGTAAAACAATGTTGATTTTATATTTCATCATCAGGCTGATGCAGTGATAGCTTCCTCCTGATGTATTGTTGTGTCCCATTTTTTTCTATTTGTTCTCTTTCTGCAGGTCTAGAAGCAGACTCTTGTTCATTTTTGTGGACCCCCCCCCCCCCCCCCCCCCCTCCCCACCTTTTGTCTTTTCCTTTCTCTTTCACCTCTGTCTCCGTGTCTGGTCGGAATTACAAAGCATTCAACAACAATAACAATAAAGTTTTAAGTATCAGGCGTGACATTAAAAGCAGACGCTTTGATGCTCCACCTGAGAGTAAATCTGTAAGGCTTGTCACCAGCATTCAGACATCAATTCTGCTTGCTTCACAGCCAGACAGGACACGGTAAAAAACAAAAAAAAACGATGGTAATTTAGCATGAGCTTGTTTGTAACTCGGAGCTTGGGACCCTGGTCAGTAAGGGTCATTCACCCATTCACACACATTCACAAGAATTATCTTAATGTCTACATCAACCTTTTTCCATACATCTCTAAATATTTACTTCAGATTTTACCAAAGATAATCCTTATTTTTAAAGCCCCAGTGTGATATTTTTACCTGTTTACTATAAATCCCGTGTTTCCAGTTCACAAACTTCTCCTTTTTCATTAATATTTCTCACCAACATCATCCACCATCTTAAAATACAGTAGCTGTTTAGGGACATACAAGCTCCACGTTACCTGTTTGGACTATGACTGTAACCTGAAAGAACCAGCAGAGGGCAGCAGTGCACCCTGGAAGCATGGAGTCTGCTAATTCAACTAAGAAATAGCAAAGAGTAGCTACACCGTTGCTGTACTTGTTAGTTTGAATAATTAACTATTAAATCAAAAGACATAAAATTTGTCAGTCCGTCATCATGTCCAACACAAGGAAGCTGCATATGTTCAGACCCGCCGCCCGCTATTATATGAACGCCAGCCTCTGATTAGTGTCTCTGACTCCCAAACTCACCTCAAGTTGTTCATCCGTCTTTTCCTAGTACCAGAACTCCCGACCCGGTCCCAACGTGTCCGTCCCAAAGTCTTCTACTCAAGTCTTCTCTCTTCCCGCAGCCTGCCGTCTCTCCCAACACGCTCCGGTGCTCGTCCGCTAGCCAGTGGCTAATCAGCATTTACTTCATCTCCACAACACTCTGAGTATTTGTGTTGTTTACTGTGTTTTCAGCCTGTAAATAAAAAAATTTCTAAATTCCAAGCCAATGAAAAAGCTTTTAAATTAATTTCTAAAATAAGTGCCTAACTACATATTCACCTTATAAAACAAAGTGCTTAGAGACAAACAAAAAAATATTTTGCTTCCACATTAAACAATTACCCCTTACTTTTAGCAATGACATCACACAGAAACAACTGATTGTTATTAGAAACTTCATCTACGGATTTGTTGAGAGTAATTATAACATCTAATGAGAAAAAGGTTGACTTACCTTCGTGCACACAACGGTCTTCAGTCAAACTCTGCACATTTCGAGGTCCTGCACCCACCTGTCGGAAAACTGGACTTGTGCGTGTTTAATTTAAAACCCATGATGTTACTAAACACTTCATGGGTGTATGCACTCACACTTAGCACCATATAGTTATATATGTGCGTGAGTAAAGTTGGGCAACACGCTAACGTCTTTGCTCCAGTCTTTGTGTTCGTAGGGGTCTAACCCGTTTAATCCTTTGATCTTCTCCTCATACCTTTCTCTAGATTTTGCGTTGAGCCTGTCTTTGTACGGACCGGGACCAGTCTCCTTTGTTTTATACGTCCTTGTGAATTAAGAGAGGTTAAATTCCTTTGCTAGTTTACACGCAGAAGGACTGTTTGGAGATGTAAACACCGAGCCCAACGGAGAAAAACTGTGTCTTCCGGATTTTTAAATCTCCCCCCGTCCTCAATTCCTACAATGCACCGTGCGTAAGTCATGTGGTCAATCTCGATATACATAGAGGGGTGAGGAGTGAGCACCACCTCACCCCTGCCACATGGACCCAAGGGATAAACCAGCAACCCTGCTCAGTGGTCAACTTTCCTCGCGGGGTCACACCCATTAGGACAGTGGGAGGGTTAAAGTGAATTTTTGCTAAACGAGGTTTAAAAAGTCACTTTAATCAGAAAAACATAACAGACAGACAGGAATGATCAGATAATTATTAATGATCACATCATTATTAGGAGTTATTAGGAAACAGAAGTCTCAGAACACATAACATGAAACATCTGAAAATATTCTATAACACTGAATATCATTGTATGTCTCAGCTTTAGACTATAAACTAGCCTAGTTTGTCCTAAAGCATTCTCAGGATGTCGTGATGACACCTGCGTCACCTATCGGTAACACCGGTCCTGCTCACGCAGGTGTCTCTCTCTCTCTGTTCCGACGCCGCCACGGTCAATGTTCGTCATTATTAAGAGATGATTATAAATGTAGCAAATTACAACTATTTAAAAAAAGTACAAAAGTATAAGTACAGATTTTAAAAACTACTTAAAAAGTATAAATACAGAAAAAAGCTACTCAATTACAGTAACGTGAGTAAATGTAATTCATTACTTTCCACCTCTGCATTTTACACATCCTTCTCTTCAGCCTTCATCAGGTTCTGCAGGAGCTGCTAATCACTTATTTTATTCAAATCTGTGGAGGTTTTCTGGGCACGTCCAACTGGGAGAAGACCTAAAGGTAGATCCAGGACACGCTGGAGGGACTATGTCTCTCACCTGGCCAGGGAACACCTTGGGACTCCCCTGGAGGAGCTGGCCCAAGTGGCTGGGGAGAGGGGAGTCTGGGCTTCTCGGCTGAGGCTGAAAATGTGTTGTGTTATTGCACTACTACCTTAAAACACCAGATGTTGCCAGAGTGTCCATGTTACATATTCAACCTTCAAAGATTTTAAAGTAATTTAAAACACTTTCAACTTCCATACCATAGTTTTATAGGAGGGTGAAAAAGATGTGGATCCCTGTGCTACTCTTCAGTCATGGCTGGCCCAATTAAAGGATCAGGTCAGGTTGGGTTGAGCTGGAAAAGCTGTTGAAGCAGCAAAGTAATCCTACATAAACCAGGCAGGTAAAAGCAGGAGCTGGAGGAGCACTCTCACATATCACAAAGAACATGTTCTAAGTTGTTTTTCTGATGCCTATACGACTGTTTAGTCAATACATGTTAATAATTACTGCGATTCTAAAGCTTGTTTTCCACCACTCTGTTATGTAGTAATGGGATGTGTGTTTTGGTTTTCGGATTCCAGGTGACTCAGGTGATGCTGGGGCTGATGGTCATGTCCTACTCCATTCCTTTACACATCACTGAGGCCACTGACGTAGTGACGTTTGGTGTTCCCTGGTGGACTGGCCTTACGGTGAGTGGATGAAGCTGAACAAACATGTCCAGGAGGTTAGGAATCCAGACCCTCTGTCCAACCTGATCCGGTGGTTCAGACTTCCCCCATGTTGAGAAGCTTTAGATGGCATTAGGGCCTTACCAGTGATCACTGTGTCATGTTCAAAGTTAGAACATTTCACTCAGAAAAACATAAAACACATAAAAACGATACAAAAATTATACAGCACCACCTCCCCCACCACCTTCACCGCTGTGAATAGTACATTCCCCGCTGACCACCCCTCAGTGACAGAAGAGGATGTGTTTAGGGTTTTCCGTAAGCAAAACCCACGGAAATCCCCGGGCCCGGACGGTGTCTCCCCCGCTACCCTGAGACACTGTGCAGAGGTACTGTCTCCAATCTTCACGGACATCTTTACCATCTCCTTGGATTCCTGCCATGTTCCAGCCTGCTTTAAGCTGTCCACCATTGTCCCTGTCCCTAAGAAACCCCGTATCACTGGACTGAATGATTACAGGCTTGTGGCGCTGACGTCTGTAGTCATGAAGTCTTTTGAGCGCCTGGTCCTCCCTCATCTCAAGTCCTTCACCTCGCCCCTCCTGGACCCTCTGCAGTTCGCATACAGAGCTAATAGGTCTGTAGACGACGCCATCAACCTGGCCCTCCACTTCATCCTGCAGCACCTGGACTCCCTGGGAACCTACGCTAGGATCCTGTTTGTGGACTTCAGCTCTGCGTTCAACACCATCCTCCCTGCTCTGCTCCAGGACAAGCTCTCCATGCTCAACGTTCCCAACTCCACCTGCAGGTGGATCACTGACTTCCTGACGGACCGAAGGCAGTGCGTGCGGCTGGGGAAGAATGTTTCCACCACTAAGACTATTAGCACAGGATCTCCACAGGGCTGTGTACTTTCTCCTCTGCTCTTCTCCCTGTACACAAACTGCTGCACCTCGAGCCATGACTCCGTTAAACTGATCAAGTTTGCAGACGACACCACCCTCATCGGGCTCATCTCTGACGGTGATGAGTCCGCCTACAGGAGGGAGGTGGAACGGCTGGTGTACTGGTGCAGCAGCAACAACCTGGAGCTCAATGCTCAGAAGACAGTGGAGATGATTGTGGACTTCAGGAAAGTCACAGCCCCATCTCTCCCCCTCGTCCTGACGGACACCCCCGTCACCACTGTGAACTCCTTCCACTTCCTCGGAACCACCATCACACATGACCTTAGGTGGGAGCCATCCATCAGCTCCCTGATCAGAAAGGCCCAGCAGAGGATGTACTTTCTGCAGCAGTTGAAAAAGGCCAAGCTGCCGGCCCAGATGATGGTGCAGTTTTACACGGCCATCATTGAGTCCATCCTCACCTCCTCCATCGCTGTGTGGTACGCTGGAGCCACGGTGAGGGACAAACATAGACTGCAGCGCATTGTGCGCTCCGCTGAGAAGGTGATTGGCTGCAGCCTTCCATCTCTCCAGGACCTGTACGTCTCCAGGACTCGGCGGCGTGCAGGTCGGATAGCAGCTGACCCTTCTCACCCGGGTCACACACTTTCTGAGCCGCTTCCCTCAGGCAGGAGGTTACGGTCCATCCGGACCAGAACCTCCCGCCATAAGAACAGCTTCTTTCCATCTGCCGTTAGACTTGTGAACAGCTTATAAACACACAACCATGCTGGTCTTCTGTACTCGACACAGCGTCATGTTATCGGCCATGTTACCATTACCTGCCATTTTTTATAGCTGAAAGTTTTATTCTAGTTTTATTATTATATTTTATTCTATTTTTAATCTTAGTATTCATGTTATATGTAGCACATTAGTACCGAAGCAAGTTCCTAGTTTGTGAATTGTTTGTTCACTGACAATGGCAACAAACCTGTTCTGATTCTGATTCTGATAAAGACATGCATACCAGTGTCTCCACATGGATGACTGCTAACGCACTGCACTAAAATGGCGATCAACCAGCATACGCACAAGTCTGTTCTTTAGAGTTCTTCAATCGCAGGATAAACCTGTATATCACCTGTACCTAACCCTCTAACGTATGTTATACCGCTTTGCGCTGTATAACATACCGTACGCTGATTTCCCGGCATGGTGTGTCCTAAAAGAGGCGGTCTCTCGTGTTTATCTGACATGACTGTTGCACAATAAAGATTATATCCTTTCTGACCTGATAAAGGGGGAATGGAGGTGCCTTGCCCTGTTGCAGCCTCTGGTCCACTGCCTCCTGCTGCTCTCTCTCTCTGATTTCTCCATGCTCGTTTTCACCAGCTGACACACTCACTCTTTCGGGAAAAAACTGCAGAATTCCCGCTTGCATCTGACCCTTTCTTTTCATGTTCTCTATCAGACAACTACCAACACACAAAATGCAGATTACAAAAGAAGTACATGGATTAGCAAGGGCTAACGTTTTTTCACAAGCCTTTTTTAACATTACTTTTAACTAATGTCGGCATTGCTTTCCATTTGACTTATCGTCAGACTTGACTTACATAGCAGCTGTGAGTAAACAGTGATTCATGACTTAACAACAAACTCCTCACAACGTGAACTCTCATCAGATCAGATGTCGGTTGAAAAGTTCTCCCTCCTTGGAATCTTTCAAATATTCTTCTGTTAGATTTCACACACTATTTTGCTCCTTAGCGCCACGCGGCCACTAGTGTTTGGAGTCGGAATTGCATCCACCTATAATCTCATTACCGCATAAAGGACAGATGAGTGACAGGACAGGGGCACTACAGGGGCCAATCATATTTCAGCAGGGGCCAGTGCCCCTGTGGCCCCGCCCCTAGAACCGCCAATGCCCTCACTGTTCTTGGTGCTAGTCGGGTGCAGCTGTCCATGAGCAACCAAGTCCCACAATGTGAACAATCGCAGCACACGGGCATCATGTAAGCTACCTGGCTGACCTGCATTAACATTCCAGAACATGCCTCTGCCATCCACAATGCCCTGGATGATTGTGGAATGCCAACCTTTCCTATTGAAGTAGTCTGTGTGGAATCCCTGTGGTGTGATTATTGGGATATGGGAACCATCGATGGCACCCACACACTGAGGAACCCCCCACCTGGTCTCAAAATAAACAGCCATTTCCTGTAGCTTTTGCAGAGTTGGAAAAGCAATAACCTCGGCAAGCAAGATGTTACAGACAGCCTTACAGAAGTCCAGCACACAGCGGCACACAGAGGTCGTGCTGACACCAAAAAGAAGCCCGATGCTCCTGTATTCACTGCTAGTTGCAAGCTTCCACAGTGCAATTGCAACTCTTTTCCTGAGTGGCACGCAGGCTCTGAAGTTGGTGTTCGTCTTCTGCATGGCTGGACGGAGCTTGGAACAAAGATATGAAAAGGTCTCTTCTGACATTCTGAAATGAGCTATCCAATCTGACGGAGTGAAGTTTGGCATGGTCACATCCCAGAAGGCGCTGGCACGGCTGAAGGCCCACACAGTTGGCTGCCGTCGCTGATTCAAAAGAGCCAACTAAAAAAATTTAAAACAGTCATAACACTGTAAAAGTATTTCAAACCACATGAAATAAAACTGAGTGAAAACAGCAATGCAGTGAAAAAGATTGAAACAGTATGGTTATAGACATAAAGTTCACATAAATACAATTTGTTTAAGGTTAAAATAACAGCCGTTCTTTATGGAGCTACCAGTGACTGGCTATGTTTTGTTCACTTTATTAAATGCACAAATGTGGTACTGCTTGTAATTATCTATATAATTAATTAATTATAATTTAAATATAGCTGCACAACTTATCCATGACATGCCCAGGAAGTAAAGAGTGAAGGATTCAGGCCCTCGTGTTGACTAGCATCACCATGTGTTGGCCTTTCATGTTTAGCATGTATTAAAATTTATCAATATACAACAAAACCATTTGATTTTGGTGCTTTTTTTAGTTTGTCTGTTTTTATAGTTGCCCTAGACCCCCCCCCCCCCCCCCCCCCGCCGCCGCCCCGCCCCCCAGAGATTATAACGACAAGTTACTTACCACCTGGCGCCTCCGTCTTTGCCTCAACAGTAAAAAGTTATGCCTTGTGTCCGATATTAATTTCAGAAAGTGTCATCACCTTTCAGCTACCCAACTCCTCGATGCGCACAGCATAGCTCTAACGTTCTAAACGCTATCGTGATGCGGGTGTAAAGAATATACCAAACACCAAGAACAGAAAGAACGCACTACTGACTGGACTCCATTGTTGTTGTGTTTTGGCGCGTTCTCGTCGCGCTTTGTGGCGTTAAGGCACACATCATGCGTGACGCATTGCGCTACCCCGCCTGGTAACTGCAGCCTGGAATGCGATAGAAACGCCTGCCAGAAAACTTCTAGACCCATACCGGTACATACTGGTCCATAATACCCAGACCTGACCATTCCAGATCAGGCGATGGAAAAGAGCTACAAAGAAAGGTTCATTCAGGACCCAGGCAGCTTCTGACCCAGGAGGACGGCGCCAAGCTTCCTCCTTCTCGCTTACGCTTAATCAAGGTTCTTGGAGGAACAAGGAAAATTGGTTCCTTGGGTGGCCTAGACTCAGAGCAGAACCCCTGGTTTTCAGCATGCTGGATCCTGTTCATCACACCAAATTGTAGTGGAAGTTTCAAGACTTATTAAAGCAATGAGAATGCAGTCCATGATTCATTCAAAAGGGTTTAATTTCAGTATTGGACAATCAAAAGGAAGAGACGGTCACAGTGGCTCTTCCCAAAGCAGCCCCAGGAATGCGTCCTGCTCGGTAGAGGCCCCCACAGTCCCCTTGAACCCCTCCACCCACAGGGGAGAACAAAGGAAGGCCCTGCAGTGTTGTTGTTGGTGGTGATCTGGACCTGTATCTTGGAGTCGTGCTTGCAAGTGCCTTGCAACACCAAAGTAAGAATTACAGTAATCAAGCCTTGACGCAATAAAAGCATGAATTACCATTTCTAAAATCCTTTTTTAGAGCTGGAAGTCAGATCACCAGAGACTGCACAGGGACTGTGGGGGTGGACACCTTTAGGAGAGGCTTGTTAAAAAAATGTAATGAGCGCAGCTTCAATTGCAATAAAAAGTTATGTCCAAGGTAAACAGACATTTGCGGCAGTGCAGAAACCACCCTCATACCCCCATGCTGCCATCGCTTAATCCTTTATCAAAAGGACATAATTGCTCCACAATACCACCACGGTCTGACCACATGACCTAAGGCTCACTGATGCCAACCACAGCAATACGGCTAATTGACAGGATTGTGTTGTAAAAACAGCTTAAGATTCATGAAAAATGTTCAGGTTGATTTAGCGGATGAAGATCATTTCTTTGCTTTTTTGCCTTCTTGGTTTTGTTTCCTTAGTTCATCGCAGCAGGAGTGATTATTGCCATCTTGGAAACGCACTGCACCATGAAGACTGTGAGTATTTCACCATGCTAAAGCTTCAAAGATAACATGAAGGTCTAAAATGTTTCTCACAATGTCTTTACTCTTCCGCAGAAGTGAAAAAAACCCTTTGGTTCCTCTGCTTTGCATGACAGTTTATTGAATTAATTATTGATGCAGCTAGGTGAGAGATCTGACAAAGTACAGCCCAAAGACCAATTATGATGAGCTCCATATGAAAAAAGTGTCTGGACAAGTGTCAACGGGTTGCAGTAGACTAAGCGTGAGGAGATGAAGGTGTGGAGAACAGTTTCAAGTTCGGAGCGGGACAGAATGGGACTCAGCTTAGCAATCTTCCTGAGATGGAAGAAGGAAGAGCCAACAAGAGAACTGACATGAGAATCCAGGGTGAGAGCTGGGTCAAAGGTCACACCAAGATTCCTGACGGAAGGTTTGGTGTGAGAAGCAAGCTGACCAAGAGAGTCTCTGACTTTGGGAACCAGCTTGTCTGGGTCACAGATGAGGATCTCAGTCTTATCTTCATTCAGCTGAAGAAAGCTCCCACCATCCAGGTTTTGATAGAGTCTAAGCAGGTGTGTAACAGCTGCAGCTTAGACATCTCATGGGGCTTAAAGGAGATGTACAGTTGGATGTCATCTGCATAAAGATGGTAGGAGATTCCTTTGAAGGGGCTCAGGATGTGCTGAAGAGGAAGCAGATAGAGGAGGAAGAGCAGAGGCCCCAACCCAGAACCTTGTGGGACACCATGGGTAAGAGAGGTGGTGGAGGACCTAAACTTGGAGACGGCCACAGAAAAGGAGCGCTCAGAGAGATAAGAGGAGAACCACTCCAGAGCAGATCCTGATAGGCCTACCCAGTCTCTCAGCCTCTCCAGTAGCAGGTGATGGTCAACAGTGTCAAAGGCTGCAGTCAGGTCCAGCAGGACCAGAACAGAACAGTCCCCTGCATCACTGTGAGTCAGAAGGTCATTAGAGACCCTAAGAAGAGCTGTTTCAGTAGAATGAGCTCTACGAAAACCTGACTGGAAGCTATCATAGATGTTATGTTCATCAAGAGCAGCTGTGAGTTGTTTAGCCACAACCTTTTCCAAGATCTTGGAGATGAACGGAAGTTTAGAGATGGGTCTGAAGCTGCTATGGAGAGAGGGGTCGAGACTCGGTTTTTAAGAAGCGGGTGGATTACAGCGTTCTTAAAGTAAGCAGGGACCTGACCAGAGACCAGAGAAGCATTAATTATAGAGAGCACGCTGGGACCGATGGACTGAAAAGCACTTTTAAACAAAGATGAGGGTAAGATGTGGAGGGGGCATGCAGAGGTCTTCATAGAGTTAACTAGTTTGGTTAACTCAGGCAAAGAAACAGGAGCAAAGCTATCTAGGATGATGGGCCTGGTTGGAGTCGGGAGAGGCGGCGATAAGGCTGAAGGAGAGATGCTAGATCTAACCTTATTGACTTTGTCCACAAAAAAAGGCAGAAAGTGGGTGGAGGCTGTAGGAGAGGAGGAGAGACGATACTGCTGATGGTGTTAAACAGAACCTTGGGGTTCCCTTTTCTCTGGGACACCAGGTTGGAAAAATAGGCAGCCCTCGTGTCTCTGACAGCAGAGTTAAAGGATGTCAGAAGATCCTTTAGGTGCAGCAGATGGATGTGGAGACGTGTTTTCTTCCACAAGCTCTCAACTTTTCTGCAGTGATTCAGGCTGCGAAGGCTGTCATTAAACCAGGGAGTAGGGTTCACTGCAGGAACTGATCTGGTTCTGACAGGACAGATGTTGTCCAGGATGGAGAGGCAGTGCTCGTTAAACTGAGAAGTTAAGGAATCTGGGTCGTTATCAGAAGAACAGGGTGGATCAAAAGCAGCAGAAAAATTGCTAGCTGTGCTCTCATTCAGAAAACGAGAACTAACCATACAGCGAGCAGGAGGTGGGGACGCAGAAACTGACAAGTTAAAGAAAATGCAACGGTGATCTGAAATATATACGTCCTCAGGACAAACACTGTCAGCATGTAGACCCAGCATAAAAACAAGGTCCAGAGTGTGCTCTCTGGTGTGTGTGGGGCCATAAACAGGCTGGGTAAAGCTGAAGAAGTCCATGAAGCTGGAGAAGCTCATGGCAAAGTGGTCTAAGGGATCATCAATGTGGATGTTAAAGTCACCAACAATCACCATACATGATGTGTTTTTCTTTTTAGATGCAGTTTTGTTTCATGATGAGCGTGTTATCTGTGGTGTTATCACTAGTGGCGATGATAATCTACTCTGTGGACTTGAACAATGACATGTCCTGTGGAATGGAACGGAATACCAGCTGTGGGACGAACAAATATACGGTTAGTGTTCAGCTTTTGTACATTATTTTTGTTTGTTCTTTTTGAGTATGTAATATTTTCTACTGACATCTAAAAGCTTTCACAATGATATTTAATCAAATGCACAAAAATAATTAAGAGATTAGAAATCCATAAATGGGAGAGGAAGTGACTTTAAAAAAAAGCAGCCTGGCTCTCCAGGAAATGTCCCAGTTCTCCCAGTGGCCTGCTTCCACTGCTGCACACAGCACTCATGGTGGAGATGAGAGAGGGAGGGAGGGGGAGGGGGAGAGAGAGAGAGAGAGAGAGAGAGAGAGAGAGAGAGAGAGAGAGAGAGAGAGAGAGAGAGAGAGAGAGAGAACTACTGCAGTAGGAAGCCTCTTCTCTCTAAAACAGGGATTCCCAAAGTGTGGTGCGCGCGAGCTGCCGCTAGGGGGTGCGTGAGGTGAAAAGTGTAATGGCTGCGGAGCTCAGAGAAGTCTCTCAGATGTCACCATTAGCGTAGCCAGAAACTCATTTGTGGGTGGGCTTAAGAAAAAGTAAGTGGGCCCAATGAATGTAATTGAAAACAAGTATATTTAGCGTGTGTGTCCTCCGCATGTGCCCTAGCTTCATAATAATAATGCACCGAGCTTCAGCGCTCTGACCCGCGCACGCTGTTAATAGCAAGATATGTTCCGTATTTGATCATTTTTAACGATGTTGGAGAAATCTGAAGGTGGCGAGTCATTCTGGCAGATTGTAATTAACAATTACATTACATTACAAGAGGGTGCGCGGCTCAATAAGTTTGGGAACCGCTGCTCTAAAACAACATGGTGGCTGGACTCAGGCTAGTAAAGTCCCATCTCGATAAATAACTAGACAGATGAGACCAAAACAGGGATGTTTACACACAATGCACTGCTCCATGTGAGGTTACACCAATCAGCTGATCCCAGCTGTCAGCTCGGTGGTGGAGGACTGATGGTTTGGGCTCTTTCCAGTCATCGAGTCCACCATGAACTCTTCTTAAGACCAAAGTCTTCTAGATTCAGATATGGGTCCATCTGTCTGACAGCTGAAGTTTGGACCAAACTGGGTCGTAAACCAGAACCAAGATCCAAACACAGCAGTAGGTCTGCAAGTATACAACTGGAAAAGAATCAAGGTTACGAAATAGTCCAGTCCCAGTACAGACCTGAACCTGGAGGACATCAATCCCAGTAACTAAAAGTGCAGCACACCTCTTGATGTACAACAAAAGCACCTAGCAATGGCAGAAGACACAGAAACACACCAAATGCTGACTGCAGCAGCAGAGAGTGGTGTTCGAAAGGAGGAACAGGATGCTCCAGAACATTTCAGGAGTCTTGCAACATGAAACGATGTTTGTGTTTTAATCCAGAGGCTGAGCAGGTGTTTAAAGGCTTCCCTCCTCATCTTCACTCTGGCACAGACCGTGGTCTCAGCTGTCGTCTGCTTTCTGCTCGTCAGACTCCGACACTACTTTCAACAATACAGTGTGAGAACATCTGTTCTTTAGGATCTCATAACTTCTGATTTATCTTCATAAAAAGCATGAATCCCAGATTATCAACAACTGCAATGGTAATCATTGATAAGATGATGATGTGTGGCTCTCATATTATTTTAGTATCACATGAACCTTTCATTGCTGCCATGTAAAGAAGAATAACTCTTCCTGTCTCTGTTTTACAGTCCATCAGCCAAGCTGCTGAGCCCATCACACCCTGAAATAATCCACCTCTAGATAAAAGATGGAGATGGAATTCCGGCCATGCTCTGGTCTTGTTTATCTATGATGTAACCACTGAGCGACAGACTTGTTGAGCCTCATAAGGCAAAAGAATCAAACCTTAAATTGCTGATCAGCAGAGCAGTGATACTCTTACATTATGATTGTTAAAGTCCATCTAGGGACAATGCTGCAAATTAGCTGTAGCTAAAAGCATTTAGCTACAAACATGGGGCTGCGGGTTTACTGCTTGTCTATGTGCTTGTATCTGTCCCTATTGAAATAAACAAAAGGAAATGAAACAAAGACGGGAACATTATCAGAGGAGTCATTACTCAGCTAGAAGTAGAAATACTTGGGTTGAAAAAGACGCAGTAGAAGTATTCATTCAAGTGTTTTACTCAAGTTAAAAAAGGTAGAAATTTACTTAAAATGTATATATATATATATATATATATATATATATATATATATATATATATATATATATATATATATATATACACACACACACACACATTCTCATTTTCATCCTGTTTTCTGTTGTAATTTGATCTTGTTTAGGAAAAAAAACTGGTCGGGATTCAAACTTGCAAGCTTGTTGCTGAAAGGTCACAGTACTACCAACTGGACAACATTCTATATTTCCTATAGTGCTATACATGTCTGATGCCCTCTGCTGGAGGATCTTCAAGTAGCACATAACCTACATCTAATCAAAACAACCATTCCAACACAATAGGGCCCAACATCAACGCACTTCAGGGGGTACGGAGGGGTATTCATAAGGAGTTTCTACTTGTTTAGCAACAACAGACTGCTACAGTTTATAGACCCTTTTACTGTTTGTAAACAATATGACGTCAGCGAGAATGCGCGTGCAGCTTGGCAACAGAGAATGGCGTTGTGTCAGGCTTTATCAAGCTACGCTGCGGGGTTATCACCGGCAAATCTTGAATGTTATATTATTAAACTCACTTTAACGAATGGCAACAGACTCCCGGATCCCTGTGGCATTACGGAATGAGTGGAAGATGTAGGTGCGTGGCCGGATATCCAGTGGCCCGATACATATACGTTTTTAGTGGAGAGGCCCAGTAAGTACACACGTGAGAAGCTACGGGCGTACAAATCGTTAGATGCATACAACTATGTTGTCTGTGGCCACGTACAGAAAGTAAAACATCACGACATAGACTCTGAGTTTTGCTTCTTGAAGGCAGAAGTCCTTCCTAGCCAAAGACAAGGACACAAGACTGCTGTGTACGAGGCTTGGGTCATAGTAAACAAACCAGAGAACTACGTACCTGCATGGCAGGGTGAGTATAGCATAGGTTTCTTTTTTTAGCGTGCTCAGAGTACAATCGTGTTAATTTTAGAGAAATACAGTTTATACTAAAATGCAGTGGGAAAATACAGATGAATTAGAATGAAATGTTAATGTGAAGCATGAAATAAAGTGTATAAATTTATATGTAACCTTAGTACATAATTACCTTACCTGATATAAAATGGGCGCTACAAACTCGAGCATTTCGGATCGTGTTTTACGTCCAGTGTTCATCAACCCTTTTGATGGCCTGCAGCCACAGACGCCTCCGATTGTGTTGAAATGGATTTGCTCCCTTCGGAATTCTGTAAAGTTTCAGTCCACAGCTTGAAGAGAGGCGATTCTGGCATCCATACACGCAACAACCCGACATTTTTATGTGCTCAGAACTTCAAAACAAAGGGTTTAAAACGCTGTTTTAGTATCGAGTGTGAATGAGGAAGCCTTCACTCTCGTTGCCAGGCTGCGCGCGCAACTTTTGATGACGTTGGTAGTAAAAGGGTCTATAGGGGGCCTAAGTCTCCTCCCTCTCCAGTCAACTCGGGTCCCTGAATGGGCTAAAAGCACATTTCTAACCTGCTTTGCCTCAGGCCCTGGATCACACAGATGCCATTAAATTTAAATGAAAAGTAATGCCGGGGGTTTGAGCACAACCACATAAGCTCCTCCCCCCTAGCGTAGCTGCTACTTACCACATGACCAGATTTATGGTGGTTCTTTCCTCCTGTGGGAAGTTTGCTGAACTTACAGCCCTTTCCCCTCAGTTTCCTCCATGTCTGGTTTGATGATGTCACTTTCATGAAGCGCATTTGTAGTTCTGGACTTATTTTTACACAAAACCTGAAGTAGCGTTACCCCTTTGGAAAATAAGCGCGTTCTTGGTATCAAAATGTGTCTTTAAAAGTCACGGACATATGTGAACTCCATGGAACAAAACAAGTGGAATTAGAAAATAGCGTTTTTAGCCCCGCTGACTTGCATAATTTTTCGTTCTTCTGGTGACCCGTGGTCCGGAAGTAGGTGGGCGTGGCTTAGGCTCCCTATGAGCCCTCCCGTATTTCTAGGGTGAAAAGGGAAACCACAGAAGTCCAGCGGCCATCACTGATTCTTTTTGGATTGAAAAACTTTTCTACCTGGAGTTACTTTTAGTCAGAGGAATGGTTGAAATGAACAAATGTGGATGCTTTCTGCTCTATAATTCAACATGTTGGTTGATCTGACATTAACTCCATATTGTTGTACTAACCCACATTCTCCTGTTGCACTGAAACTGTATCATCAATTATACGAAATAAAGAAACTGACTAAATGACA